TCTCCCCATCACTCCATAGATTTCTACACACACACACACACACACACACACACACACATACACACACGCCTTCTCCCCATCACTCCATAGATTTCTCCTTTCGGCTCCCTGCCTGCCTCGGGAAGAGAGCTGATTTGTTCACCGCACACAAAAAGCAAACCCCTAGCAATCCAGGTGATTTCAACTTGCACCCTCGTCTGAATCTGACTTGGAATTTTTGACAGCCCTTTGTCTACGTTCTGATGCAACTGTTTTCTAAGTCATATTCAGCCAAATTGTACTTGCACATGATATTCATGATACTGTTCAATCGTTTCCATATTCTGTTGGGTCCCCATTTGGGGGGCAATGGGCACACATGCGGATCTCTTAGACAACAGAGTGCTTCCAGGGTTTTATCAGCTTGTTGAAAGATTTCACGTGGCAGTCCCTCCATTCCTGGGGCCTTGTTCTTTGACAGTGCCTTCCATGCAGCTTGGACTTGTTCCTTCAGTACCATTGGTTCTTGACCATATGCTTGCTACCACTTCAAATGGTTGAATTTCAACCGAGCCTTTTTGTTACTGTCTTTTCTCTTTTGTGTTCCTCCCACATCCTTCGATGGATTCCTGTGTTGTTCAACATTTATCCACCACATTTGTCGCTTGTGTAACTCATCTCTGTAGAACCCACTAACTCATCTTTCCAGAAAGACAGCTCATGTCCCATTCGTTCACTTTGTGAAATACTGACCAGCCTACACTGGTCAGCCAGCGGGCACAAGAGTCTGTCATGCAGAGACAGCAGGCCCCTCTCATGCAACACAGGATGAACAGGGGCCTTTAGCCAGACCCCTGAGGGCACCTTGCCCAGACTTTAGGGGTCAGAGCATGTCAGAAATATAAACAATGATTTTGCCCCTCTCTTTCCTACTAGAAAGATGAGGCTTTCTGTTCCCATAGAGAGTTACAGTCTCAGAAACTCACAGGGGCAGATCTATTCTGACCTATACTGTGTCCCTGTGACTCGCATTGACTCAACGACGGTGAGTGAGTTTGCTACTTGAGGACGTCTAGAGTCAGGTAACAATGCAAGTCAGTGACGCCCAGGAGGGAGTTTGTAAGGTTGGGGTCGGAGGGAGCTCGCTCAGCATCTCTGATAGAAGAAACCAAGACCTGCTTCTCTGAACTACGTACAACACAAGGCCTGGTGGTGCCTTTTTTCATGCTCACATGCCTTCCTGCGCGTCTCCAACTCTGATGTGGTGCCTTTTTTCATGCTCACATGCCTTCCTGCACGTCTCCAACTCTGATGGCCCCTCTGCCCTCTACCCTGGACTCCACCACCGGTCTGCCCTACCTCCAAGCCCCCATGTTTCCCTTTGCCCATTCTATTCTCTGCTGAAGTAATTAATGCCTCATAGAATATCAAGGGAAACTCCATCAGATCATGCAAAAGTGTGAATTCCCGACATCCCACCAGCCTCCCAAAGGACCTGCGTCTTAAAGTCTGTGTATGGCCCAGTTACTGATTTTCTCCACCTGAAACAACCTAACTATGCAAGAAGGCAGGGACTCACTAATCAAGCATATGGATTCAGTGAGATTTAATATTGTTTCTTAAATGATTCTCTTCATGATCGTGAAATGTATACATTTCATTGCCATCGAGCGGGTTCTGACACATAGTGGCCTTACAAGACAGAGTAGAACTTCCCTAGAGCATTTCCAACACTGCCAAGACCCTGTAAAAAAACAAAACTCACTGCCATTGAGTCAATGCCGACTCATCCCAACCCATAGGGCAGGGTAGAACTGCCCTTGTGGGTTTCTGAGACTATGGGAATAGAAAGCCTCTTCTTTCTCCCAAAGAGTGGTTGCTGGTTTCAAACTGCTGACCTCAAGGTTAGCAGCCCAGCACAGAATAAAGAGGAAGACCTTCAACAAGCTGGATTGACACATAGCTGCGGAGACAAGCTTTTGTGGGGAAGGCACAGGACCAGGCACAGGGTCTCCATGAGGCATAGCCCACTCAACAGCCCTTTCAGAACAACGACTTCAGGAAGCAGACTGCCGGTTCTTTCTTCTGTTGACCAGCTCGCGGGGTCAAACCACCCACCTTTCTGTAGCGATGGAACGTGGAGCTGCTGTGCCACCCAGGCTCCTGCAGTGTGTATTCCAATGTATCTGAAACATAATGTGCATTTTATCTGAATAAAGAGAGGGGAAAATGCAGATAGAAGCATATTAGAATTGCCATCATAGAATTGGATGTCAGCAGCTGTGTTTGTGTGAGTCCATTTTGATTGTCTTAATCTTTTTCTTTTTTTTTTAAGGAAGACAATGGCGACCAAAGGGGTTTACAGGGGATAACTGTATAACAGGGTTTTCTGAAGCCTGCAGTACAGGGAAACCAACCTGTCTTATTTCATGAATATACCAATTACAGGCATCTCTCTCTAGTTTCTGAAAATATGCACAAACCATCAGAAACAGCCCGAGGGTCTTCTGCTCCAAGGCCTGAGATTAAAGAATTCCCACAATCCGCAGGAGTATTTGACATTTTAATAGGCTGCTCCAGATAATTCTGTTACTTGGGCTAAGACATTTTCAAAGGGAAACAGAAATTGGGTCACCTATTAATTTATGTCTTAGATGCATATCTATTCACCCCCGCAAAGTCCAACCAATCCCTCATGTAAGTGGGGTTTCTTCCCTCCCTCTGAGCACCATTTTTTAATAACCTTATATGTCCTACAAAGTCTGTAACATAGATTTCCCCAGAAAACCAGAATCTGATTCAATGGGGGATAAATCTCATGATGTCACACGTGCAAGTGCTGTGGCTTGATATTGATTTTCATATTGGAGAGCAGCACCAGTGATCTGGGAGTTTCTGTCAGGAAACCACCAGACGAAATGATCTGATCTCACGCGTGGCTCCCATCCGCAGGGTAAGAGCGTCCTGACAGGGGGTCTTGACGCTCTGGAATTTATCGGCAAGAAGACGATGAACGTGCTGGCTGAAAACGACCCCGGCTTCAAGCGGACAAAGACCCTCATGGAGAGAACTGTTTCGTTATCTCAGGTCGGAGTGCAATTTTTCCTTTCAAGCACATGCTGAGTTTTTGTTGTTGTTTTCCTTCCGAATCTTTTTGAGAAAGAACTTCACACAGGGGTTGTTGTGGTTGAGGTTGTTGGTGGGCGTCCTGAGTTAGTCCCAGCTCATCGCGGCCTTGTGTACAACAGACCAACCACAGGCTGCAGCCGGCCTCACAATTGTTGTTCTGTCTGAGCCCATTGTCGCCCCGCTGTGTCAGTCCCTCTTGTTGAGGGCCTTCCTCTTTTTTGTTGCCCCTCTACGTTACCGAGGAGCCCTGGTGGCTAATGGTTAAGTACTGGGCTGCAATCCACAGGGTCCGAAGTTTGGAACCCCCAGCCGCTCCTCAGAAGAGAGATGGGGACGTTCTACTCTGTAGATAGACAGTCTCAGAACTTCACAGAGGCTGTTCTACCCTGTCTTACAGGGTCGCTGCGCGTCGGCACCCACTCAATGGCAGTGAGTTGGAGTTTTTTGAGAACTGTAGCAAACGTATTGCCCTTCTCCAGGGAATGGTCTCTTCTGATAACATGTCCAAAGCACGGACAATGAGGTCTCGCCATCCTGGCTTCTAAGGGGCATTCTGCCTGTACTTCTGGGTCCTATGGGGACTGGTTGGTCCCTAAGTCCTCAGATGCCTTGGATGTAAGGCTCCCCAGCTTCCCCTCTGACAAGAAGTCTTGTAGACAGGGCAACTTGTTGCTTTTCTCCTCCTGAGGGGGAATTGAACCAGTGTCCTTCGTACAGCCATTTCTTCTTTGGCTGAGTTTTGTTGTTGTTGTTGTAAGTTTAATTTCACTCCCTATGTCAGGGTGAATGCAAGTCACCTGAGTGACATTCTCCCTGGACCTTCCCTTCCATCCTTTCTTCCTCCTGTTCTCTGAGGCTCCCATGTGGAGATGGAAGTCCTGTGGAGAAAGAAAGCCCTTGGGCTCACTTCGTTACTCCGTTTCACCACCGCACAGTCTCTGAGGTCATGGTGGGTAGTGGGGGTTAAAAGAATGTTCAGTGATTGTTTCCTTGAGTTGTTTTGGAAACTGGTGAGTTCAGAACTTGTCCTAACTTTTAATATAGACAGGAGAGCACATTCTCTCCGTGGCTGGTGAGCTCTTGGCAATCCAGAACCCAAGAGGAGGAAGAGACTGATCGCTTTATTGGCTAAGGAAGAAAATCAACACCTCTCCTTGGTGATCTTCCTCGTGGTGGAAAATGAATTCCTGGTGCTTCCCACAGATAGGAAAGAACCCTACAAACTCAACTCCCAGTAAACTGGATGAGGGATTGTGTTAGACAGGGTTCTCTAGCGAAACAAAACCAGGACACTTATGGTTACATATATAGATATAGATAGATATATACAGCATGAAGGAATATAACAGCTAATTAGTCCACACAGCAGTACAGAGGGCTCAGTTCAACTCACTTCCATGAAACAGTTAATGTATTGGAAGTTCTTCAACTCACTGGGACTGCTGGGTCCAAGGTCAAGGAAGCAGACAGCTGAGTCTTCCTCAGGGCAATGCAGGCAGTCCGGCCACAGGCAGCAAACAGCAGGTAACTAACAGTCAGCCAGATGACAGGATGCGACAATCCCCAGCTCAAGCGATGTGTATACCAGAGCGTGGTGAAGCAGGTCTCCAAAGGAACCTCAAGCTTTAGCGACACAGTTCACGGGATGGGTGTCTCACAGGGAGTGTACCTTGCACGTTGAGGCAGAGAACTAGCTAAAGCAGCCACACGCTGGTCCGATCAGAGAGCAAGAGAGAGAGAGGCGGGGCTTGCCAAGCCATTTATCTCTTCGCCCTCCAATCAAACTGCGACCTTGTTAATCCCACATGTTCCTATTGGCCAGGTTGGCACAGTAAACCTCCCTATCACAGGAATCAAATCAATGAGGCTTAAATAAAAGACAGCAAGTGCAGAACATTGGAGGGGCTGATTTTGTTGTCTCTTTACTCCATCAGCAAAAAATAATTGGAGGGAAATTATCAATGTGGACAGGAACCTGATTCACAGTTATACTTCTCGTGACCAGTCTAAGAATCTGTGAGCTAACTTTCTTATTTATATTAACTCTCTGCTGATGAATACCTTACGAGTTTATGTTTTATTAATTTTTATTGAAGGCATTTCATAACCACACACACACACACAATTCTATGAATAATGTATCTCTGATCTAATCAGGCCAGCTTCTTTCCTCTTTGAAGCCTGCCTTGGTGAAGAAGTTGTAATCAATCCCATCACACTAGATTAAGCATTCCTGATGTACATCAACCTTAGACATTATAGAAAAAGTGGAAATTGAGGTAATGAACCCCACCCACGGAAGAAAGCAGTCTTTAGCTCCTGATATGTTTCCTCCCAAGCTTGAAATTTTGCTGGTTTTTTTTTTTTCTGACACTTGAAAAATCAACAACCAAACCCAAGAATTCAAGTCAGTTCGGTCCCCTAGCAACCCGACAGGCCAGAGTCGAGCCGCTCCTAGGGTTTCTGAGGCTGTCAGTGTGTACGGAAGCAGATGGCTTCCTCTTTCTCCTGCACAGCTGCTGGTTAGTTTGAACTGCAGAGCTTTTGGTTGGCAGCCAGATGCTTAATCCACTGTACCACCAGTCTTCTTGGTATGTAATAAAAACTCACTGCTATCGAGTTGATTCTGATTTATAGAGACTCTGGAAGACAGGGTCAAACTACCCTTTGGGGTTTCCAAAGCTGTAAATCTTTACAGGAGCCAAAGGCCTCATTTTTTCTCTTACAGACCAGCTGGTGGGTTCGAACCTCTGACCTTGTGGTTAGGATCTCAGTGCATGATCCACTGTGTCACCAGGGCTCCTTCTGTACTTAATAAGCATATGAAGTTCCAGGTGAAATGTTACATGAAAGTGACATAAAGGTTATATAAAACTCCAGGTGGGTTATTAATATAACATCAGCTTTTGAAAAACATTGTTTGCAAATTCCAGGGTAACTAAAACCTTACCGTGCTCAATCCGGGCACACTTCCGCATCTCCCTCTATATCTGATGCAAGAAATGGACTGGAAAGCATTTAAGAGTAGTTCATCTTGTAAACATTGATTCCGCAGATGTTGAGGGAAGCCAAAGAGAAAGAGAAGCAGAGACTGGCCCAGCAGCTCACGGCCGAGAGGACTGTCCACTACGGGATGCTGTTTGATGAATATCAAGGCTTGTCACACCTGGAAGCCTTGGAAATTCTGTCCAATGAAAGTGAAAACCAGGTATACCTGCATCAGTCCTTTCAAACAACATGTTCATGACTGTTCTTAAACATGGGAGGAACCGAATATCACGCCACTGCACTGATCTCGGTTCTAGAGCCTGCTTCTTGTTAGGCTAAGATCATCGATGTCCTATAGCCTAATGCTCCGTATTATTTCCTTTCGGTCCTTTGCCAAGCTTTTGTCCCTCCCCTGCCTTCAGGGGCCCAACCCAGGGAGAGTCACCGAGACCCCACCTCTTGGTGTAAAAAACTAAACCAAACGCAACTGCCTTAGAGCAGTGCTGATTCACAGGGACCCCATAGGACAGAGTAGAACTGCCCCTGTCACTTTCTGAGACTGACTGCTAAAGGCTAAGCCCCTTCTTTCTCCTGTGGAGTGGCTGGTGGTTTTGAACTGCTGACCTTGCAGTTTACAGCCTAACCCATAACCACTACGCTTACCTAATAATAAGACCGGGTTCCCCACGAGGTGTCGAAGGGATCAGGTGTAAGGCATCATCAGAACAAACAATCTTACCATAGTGAATGATTGGGGGAGTGCGGAGTGGAGACCCAAAGCTCATTAGTAGGCCACTGGAGATCCCCTTGCAGAGGGGTCTTGGGGAGGAGATGAGCCAGTCAGGGTGCGATGAAACAATGATGAGAAATACAACTTTCCTCTGGTTCCTAAATGTTTCCTCCCCGCTCCCACTACCATGACTCGAATTCGATCTTGCAAGTCAGGCTAGACCAGAGGAGGTACACTGGTACAGATAGGA